CATCATACGTATCAAATACCGCAGTTCAAAATATATGATTTTCATATATTTATTCTATCTCATTTATCACTTTCACGGGTTCATTACGAATCAACTTAACGGCCTGCTCTCAGTTGGCTTGTTAGCTCAATTGGTTAGAGCGCTGCACTAGTATCGCAGAGGTCAGTGGTTCGAGTCCCGTACAGGCCTGATTTTTTTCAGGTCTGAATTTCGCTATTGCTTAAATAGCGCTATCTACTGCGAGGATCGTGCATCATACGTATCAAATACCGCAGTTCAAAATATATGATTTTCATATATTTATTCTATCTCATTTATCACTTTCACGGGTTCATTACGAATCAACTTAACGGCCTGCTCTCAGTTGGCTTGTTAGCTCAATTGGTTAGAGCGCTGCACTAGTATCGCAGAGGTCAGTGGTTCGAGTCCCGTACAGGCCTGATTTTTTTCAGGTCTGAATTTCGCTATTGCTTAAATAGCGCTATCTACTGCGAGGATCGTGCATCATACGTATCAAATACCGCAGTTCAAAATATATGATTTTCATATATTTATTCTATCTCATTTATCACTTTCACGGGTTCATTACGAATCAACTTAACGGCCTGCTCTCAGTTGGCTTGTTAGCTCAATTGGTTAGAGCGCTGCACTAGTATCGCAGAGGTCAGTGGTTCGAGTCCCGTACAGGCCTGATTTTTTTCAGGTCTGAATTTCGCTATTGCTTAAATAGCGCTATCTACTGCGAGGATCGTGCATCATACGTATCAAATACCGCAGTTCAAAATATATGATTTTCATATATTTATTCTATCTCATAAATGTAACAAATAAAAATTCTTAACATTTTGACTGTGGCTCGCATGGCTCCAATGACTCGCATGACTCGCATGGCTCACCCCTTGGCTCGCATGGCTTACCCCTTGGCTTGCATGGCTCACCCCTTGGCTCGCATGGCTCACCCCTTGGCTCGCTGGCTCACAGATTTGTAACACTCCTCAGTTTCATCCAATTTCCAAAGTATTAATTAACCAAAAGTCTACATAAAAATGTTCATCTAAATTTGACTTCTCATCGTTACACCTAAGATATACAAGACATATTCTACAGAACTTGCTTCACAAACACTGAACACTAGCTGCCAAATTGGTGACTTAGGCTGCAAATCAATCTTGTTACCAACAATTTCTCATGACTTTCGATGACAGGCAAAATTGTCGCAGCTTGAAGTACTCGACTGGGTGTGTATTTCTCAAAAAAAATGTAATTTTAATTCAATAAGTTGTACGCTGCAGCTGAACCAGCATTAACAACATCACTGTCAGTTATACCTGTAGGTCTTGCTTGCATGCCTCGTGTTTTGCAGTCTTCTTCCACAGGCTCTACATAACATAGAGTATACCATCAAACTTAGTAATGGATGTTCACATTATACCAGTATTGACATCAGATAACTAAAATATTTCACAACTTGTAGAATTAATGGAAAGTTATGGTCATTTTGTTAGTTTCTGTGATGAAAGTCATGTTTTGAAGGTGTGTTGCCAATTGGGAAAAAACAACAAACTAGCTTGGCTACACTTGGTCGGACTGAACTTTAGAAAACCTTCAGTTCTATAAGAACAATCATATAAAAATATACACGGTCTAAACAATATTCTTCAGACACGTGTGATATGATTATACAGTAATTTACCTGTATCAAAAAAGCAATTTCCCCTAACTGCAAAGGTGGCTGAACCTGTCAAAAGGGAACATCATACATGAAACAATGGTTACTTGTGATTAAGAACTTTGAAGGATACAGTTGAACCTGTATCAAGCTAGCAGTGGTAAAGGTAGAGAATCCCATTCCATCAACACGTACCTTAGCCAATGCCTTGGCCACTCACAGGGAATGGCAATTTGAGGAGAAAAAATGTTTATTGTGCAAGTAAATGTATAAAGCAATGTTTACAATCTTCCAATGAATTAAGTATGATAAGAAGACTAAGCCACAGGATCCCTTATTGTTTTAGCAACCTCCCTACATTTCAACTACTTTTGTAAAGAAGGGGATTTCTCTTTAGTTTACAATAGCCTGAAAACAGCTATAAAGGATTCTAGAGATCACAGTTAACACGTTCCTGTTAGTAATAATTAAGAAGGTTGGTAAATGCTTAAACCTTTGGAGAGATTTTGCAAATTATTGGTTCATGCAAATGTGCACTATAATGAGGATCTGGCTGAATTGCGTGGTCCCACGTGCACTCACATGAAATTTGTTAAAAGCTTGTGATAAGATTAAGATTCTCACTACCCACAGATGTTAGATAATTTCTTAAAACAGATCATGGTGAAGTTATGAGAGCGAAAAAAAAACAGAAATAAAATTAATTATAAGAAAGAAAGAGGAGAAAAGAAAAAAATACTCAGTACTACTTCCCATCAAATTACAAACCTGCTGAAGAATATTCATGTGCTGATCATGAGTTGCATCATCATTTTCTGATGGTTGTTTACCAGTTCCTTGACCCAAATCATTTGAGTCATGCAGAAGTAAACTAACATCTGTGTGACTCTCTGATGATGAACTGCTGCTTTCCTCTTCATCTGTGCTGGGTATGGCATGAGCCATATCCTGGTGAATTTGGCAAACAGGATCCTGCACTACAGAACTTGCATACCCAGTTGGTAAAATACTTGTACCGATGGCTGGTGACAGTTGAGCACCAAGTGACACTCCCCTGTTTAAGACTGCCCCCTCATGATTCACAGCTAAATTTACTTCACCAGCTATCAGGTTGTTTGGATGCAATCTATGAATTTGAGGAGAAGTTGCTACTGGAGGAGTAAATGGTCTCAATTGTGTTCCTAAGTCATCTGAAGACAAACTCACATCTGTGTCACTCTGTGATGATGTACTACTGTCTTCAGCTTGATCTGTGCCAAATGTGTCAGTTGCGGTAGCCTGGTGGAATGGGCCCACAGAATCCTGCATTGCAGACCTTGCGCGCATAGCTGGTAAACTTCTTGCACGGACGGCTTGGTGACTAGGATCTATTTCAATCTGTGACAATGACCTGTTATCTTCTGTAACAAATGTACCTGATGTGTGAGATGGAGTGGCCTCCTGAAATTGGTGGATTGCTGTTAGGCTACTTGCCTCAGCTAACAGTGGTGAAACACATGACATTCTCCTGTTTTCATGAAGGTTCTGCCTATCTTGATCAACAGCATTGATTTTACCAGCTTTTAGGTCATTTGGATGGAACTGATATCCTGTAACTACTGATGATGGAGAATTTATTGCCTCAAAGTTGACTGGCTTTGATATTGACCTCAATTTACCTGAACTCAAAACATCACCTTCATTGATTAGTGATGCGGCATGGCTCTCTTCCCCCAGATCCATACAATGTGGGACTGGTGCAGCAGCTGCCCCCTGGAATTGAGTTGCAAGGTCCTGGATCTCACAGCTTTCAAAATTAAAGACAGCTGGTAACCCACTTGCAATTGTCTGTCTGTTTTCTGGCATGCTTTGTCCATCTGATGACAACATGCCTTCTGAAGCTTTACCAGCATCCAGATATGGGTGTTCTTCATCATCACCTTTTGCTTCCCTTATGGAGTCTTTCACAAGTACTGTACTTGTTTCGTCTTCTAGAGGAGGTGGCAAACCCAATTCTGGGCTTGCCTTCCAAGTCTCCTCTACATTGTCTCCTGGCTTGGATGGCAAGCTTGACTCTAATATATCAAAAAGACAATAGTAAGGGTCACTTCAATGCCTAATGTTGTATGTTCTGTGGTACTTTTTCCCAGAATCTGAAAAACCACATCTTTCCCCATAGCCATGGTTCATAATCTCAGTGTTTAATTCCCTTTTAACTCCCAGAAGTGATTAAAAAGTAACTTCTCCTTATGATATCCATATACCTTATCCAGCAAACAGGTAATGAGAATATTCAAACTAATCAGGAAGAAGTCGCTACCCTGATCTAACACCAAATTCTTGTAACTAACATACAAGGAAATGTGTAACAGCTAGAGGGGAGAATTAGAAATCAGATCTTGTGAGTTACAGGGTTAAACTACAAAATAGTTAAAGAACGGTTTCTCCAAACCTTCACAAGACTAAAGGCTGAAAGTTTCTAAAGAAACTGTTTGGGGCTGTGTCGGTGGGGGTAACGAAATAATTTGAATATATCAACAAAGTTGAAATGGTAAATTGGCCACCTTTATGATTATAAAAGCTGACGTTTCGAGTGTTAGCCCTTTGTCGGTGCGAAAGGACTACATTACAGGACTACCTTACAAAAACTTTTTTTCCAATCAAACAAAAGCTGATACTTTTAATTATTAACTCTCATTTTCCAAAATGAAGTTTAATCCAAAAAACACTCAGTTTTGAGTTAATACTCGCACTTTGTCGGAGCGAAAGGACTACCTTTACAGGACTACCTTACCAAAACTTTTTTTCCAATCAAACAAAAGCTGATACTTTTAATTATTAACTCTCATTTTCCAAAGTCAAGTTTAAACCAAAAAACACTCAGTACGTTTTGAGTTATTACTCCCCGGGCTTTTCAAAGGAAACACCTGAGGTATAAATTTGGCATTGTTTGTTTGTTTGTTTGTTTGTTTGTTTGCATTCTGTCACAAAACGTAGTTCCACTACAGCGCTTGCGTGAAATGTACGCGCATGCATATAATGATCCCTGGAGCGCATGGATCGTGGATTGAAGCAATGGCTGCCTTCAAGGACAATTCCTCGGTTGATGTATGCAAAAGAAATTCAATGCCTATTATGCTCAATTTACATACAAATTCACACACCATTTGCAATAGACCCACACTAAAACTTGTGGAGTGTTTTGGGAACAGGTCAGTCCGCAAACTTTACAAGAGATCAATTTACGAGCAATCCTTTACGAGTGAATCTTCTATCGAGAAATATCAAGTGAAACCTGCCATATCAAACAAGCTATCTCATATTATGTTTACCAGTATAAACACAACCATGACGTGATTGAGAACCCAGTGGAATGCCAGAAGCTTAATTAACTACTCTGAAATGTCTCAGATGAAAGGGCAGAAAACTGAAGGAATTTGTCTAAGAGCGTAATCGTCTAAGAATACCGAAGTCCTCTTGGCTATGTATGTTGTTATGTGAAGGTTAGAAGAGTCACAAAGAATGTTTGCAAGCTTAATTAATAAAGAGGGTAAGATTAAATAAAGTTACAAGACATGAGAAGAAGTATTTCTGGAATTGTTCTGTGAGGGTATATCAAAGGATAATTAAATCGAAGTATAGAGAAAGTCGGTATTTATCAATGTTTTCTTGTAATAGACCCATGTGGCTTTATAAGAGTCAGACACATATCAAACTATTGTAAATTTCAACAGAGTTCAGATATAGAGAAAAACCCTGATCCTGCTCCAATGTACATTGACCCTGGCAAAACGATAACTGAATAATTATACCAAAACTGTAGATAGCACGTACTGCTTCTCTTGTTGTGGCCATCAGCAATATTTAATATTCAGAGATTTTTCTACTAAAAACAATATGAACTATTGAACAATATTACTTTAATATACTGATTTCTGACAACTCTCCTTGGGTGAACATTTGGCAACAAACTATGACTTGGTACCAATAATAGATAAAAATAAATTCCCTTCTCCTTGCAGTTAAAGGCAAATACAAAAAAATCACCTACTCAGGGTTCATAAAAGCCTTGAAAGTCCTGGAAGATGCTTGAATCTAAAAATAAAAAACCCAAGGCCTTGAAAGTAATTGAATTTGAGGACAACATTTGATTTTTGCAATGCTTCTTCTTTTAGCAATTTTCAAGCTGAAAATTACAGTACTTTCATGGAAAAGCTAAGAAATAATATTAAATAATTTTAAAATTGCTTTTCTAAACCTTGGCCTTCAAAGTCATTGAAAAGTCCTTGAATTTTATCCTTTAGCAACTGTAGGAACCTACTCCTATATGGCAATATATTATTTTGGTTGTTGTTTGTATAGGTAATCACATGATTTCGAGTGCAATTTGGAATAAATAAGCACGAGTAAATTTTTTCAAAGACTAACAAAATTGCATGAGCCCATAGGGTGAGTGCAATTTGTGATCTTTGAAAACATTTACAAGTGATTATTTATTCCAAATTGCACGAGAAAATCATGTGATTATGTATTAATAATATACATGAAAAAATACGAGGTAGCTTCTCATAACTACGCAGAAGAAGAGCGCGCGCATCACGTGCAAAAATAAGTTATTCAAACCCTGCAAGTGACATTGACCTTGACATTGACATTGACCAATCATTCTGACCAATCAGAATGTCTGGTTTGTTTCTTTCTTTGCACTGAATTAACTCTCTTCTGCACTGAATTAACTGAAAACTGCATTCATCCTAATCAATCAGAACTGAGAAATTTTTTCATGTATATTATTAAGTACCATAACAACATTCATTACACTCCAGCAGACAAAAATAAACACAAGTAGACTTATTCATGACCAGAAATGATGAAATTGCAATATGGCAGTCGATCTCCTAAAGATAACTTCAGATGTGCGATATTGAAAGCCCAAGTTCATGCAGCTTTGCGTCTAGTTGAGAACATAGGCATGCTATGCATGCAGGAGTTATTTTTTTGGATATGTAGGTTGAATTGGAACACTTTATAACTGATGCTGCTGCCTCAATAATTGTTGGCATAAATAAACTGCATTGGTACAACGCTTCCTGCAGTCCCCTCCACAGCCCTAATTTGAACTTGTCACGCAAAGCTCTCTCCCTCTTTCCAACATTGCATGACGATACCAAACAACGACCTGCTTGTAGGTTAAAATTGTGCTTATAATGCCACTCCTTCGTCAGAGACAAAGTCCCAGTTATTATTCTGACCATAAAGGGCCAGAATGAGAAATTGCAGCATTAGGTTTTTCCTGCGCAAGAAAATGCACAATAGCGCGCAGTTTTTAATTAGTATAAAGCAATGTGGTGGACATAGCCTGGGAATGAGGTTGAGTTTTGGCATTGAGTGTCAGTCAGATTAGAAGTTAACTGGCCGCGCATCAACAATAAGCTTGTTACAGTTTATACTAATATTTCGAGTGAACTTAAATATAATTATTTATTCAAAGTACGAACCTAATACAGTGAATCACTTCTATCGTTCACGTACTGATGAAAACAACAACCCTTGGGAACAGTAAAAGTTTTTTTCCGATTGTTTTTAATTCGATTGATTAATACAATCATCTTATGTAAACATTGGCGATTGAATCCATCCAAATCAATATTACGAACAAAACAATTATACTTTTCTGACCAAAAATAAAAAACTTGTGGAAGTCACTGCCACATACCTTTAATTTCAATCAGTCAAAAAACTTGAGGTCTATAAAATGCCTTCTGATATATAATTCCGAGGCAATAAAAACTTCAAAGGTTTGTTATTAGATGTAAGCAAGAGAAATCCTTTTAAACAAAGTCATTGTGTTCAAATGCAAATTTTTAAGGAGTGATCCTACATTTCCTCTGGCGATTTTATTATTTCCAAATTGTCATGGACGGGCATCAACTTGTTTCGAAGTCTAAGTCTCCATAACTCTTCAAGTTAACAAACCATGAAAAGCACTCAACAGCGATTTTGCTAAAACAACAAAGCCCTCAATTCTGCTGATCCACAAATCCAGGCCCAAATATAGGCTCCGTGTAGCCCCTTGTTCTGTAACAGATGGTTGCCTCAAAATATTTTTCCATATAATTTTGCAGTGTAAAGCTCTATTTTATCTCTTACAGCCTCTGGACAAAGATATTTACCAGTCTCCGTTCTTCGAACAAGTGAAAGTGGATTGAACTAAGAGAAAGTATCATTCTTCAAAGGATAATAAGGTGGGCTACTTGATTGGTTGTTGCCTATCTAGACTTTGCCCTGTGAGTGCAAAATACATGATAAAATGCAGGTTGTTGACTTGCAATGGGGTAAAGTCCAGGTTAGCTAAACGCGAATTTTATTGGTAGAAAACGTCTAAGCACGTGAGAGTTGTGTGGAAATTAACCGACCGTACCATTCTGTCCCTTGGGAAATATTCTTCATTGAGGTAGATTTATGTCATAAAATGTACATTTGTTTACTGGAAAATAGCATTTCATCTAAGAAAGTCTAATCCATGCTGGCGAGTAAAATGTAAACATGCAATTGTAACAGGAAAACAGGAATATTTAATTCATGGAGAACTTAAATTAGAAGCAAAGAAATGGATATGCTAAAAGAACAACCATATGGCAAAAAAAAAAAAATACAATCAATCAAATATGATTTATGCAAATGTCTTGCACAAGTTTTACCAGAGTCAGCAAAACTAGCCCTTCCGAAACAACATGCTATAGTGCTAAATTCGTGTTAGGCCTTTAGCTGACGGTGTGTGCGTCATAAGTGCAGGAGCGGTACACAAAACATGCACGTTTTAACTCGCTAATCGGTGGAAAAAGTTCCCTGACGACCTTTCAAATCCAGACAGATTGATCATAGCGATAAAATCCTCATGAAGGACATGAGCCATTACACTGAATAGATGATCTTACAACTCTTGTAGATGTCATCTTACCTCGTTCCTTGAGCGAAATTCAAAATTGGAATTGCTGATTAACTCATATTATAGCAATGAAATAATTATTATCCTGAAGTTGCTCCTATCAACATCTGAACTAATATTTGATTC